GCCACTGGGGGAGAGAGAGAGAGAGAGAGAGACAAAGATGACAGATGAACGCCACTAGGGGAGAGACAAAGTACCACTGACAGAGTGTGCCAGGGTCACACACATCACACCACCGGTAGTTTTCTCCTGCCAGAGGCCGTGTGTTGTGGTATTGTTCACGTTCTTCTGGGAGTCCCCAAACACAAACTGAGGTCACAGCTATTTGAACAATTTTAGTAAGAGCTTTATGGCACTTGCAACACAATCAGGTCATATAAAAGCCAAAGATTACAAGTGTGACAAGAGTGTAACATACCAACAAAAGGAGCAGAGATAAAGATCTTAGATGTCCGATAGTGTAACATTCAAACAAAAGGAGCACAGATAAAGATCTTCGATGTCCGATGGGGAAGAATGACAAACCACACCAGAGCACCCGCCATACACCCATGGTCTCAGTTATGAGTGACAACACACACACACACACACACACAACACACTTTGAGGTCACAGAACACACAACACACTTTGAGGTCACAACACACAACACACTTTGAGGTCACAACACACAACACACTTTGAGGTCACAGAACACACAACACACTTTGAGGTCACAACACACAACAACACACTTTGAGGTCACAACCATGACACAATGGGGCACGTGTGACACAGATGGAAGAACTGAGGTCAGAGGTCAGACCCACTGAGAACTAAACGTGTGTAACACACACAGAGGTTTGAACCCCACCTTTGTGAGTGACAGAGATGTGTAAGTGAGAGAGACGGGAGTGAGTGACAGAGAAGTACGAGAGAGAGATACGGGAGTGAGTGACAGAGATGTGTAAGTGAGAGAGACGGGAGTGAGTGACAGAGAAGTATGAGAGAGAGAGAGAAGAGAACGGGAGTGAGTGACAGAGATGTATGAGAGAGAGAGACGGGAGTGAGTGACAGAGATGTATGAGAGAGAGATATGGGAGTGAGTGACAGAGATGTATGAGAGAGAGATACGGGAGTGAGTGACAGAGATGTATGAGAGAGAGAGACGGGAGTGAGTGACAGAGAAGTATGAGAGAGAGATACGGGAGTGAGTGACAGAGAAGTATGAGAGAGAGATACGGGAGTGAGTGACAGAGAAGTATGAGAGAGAGACGGGAGTGAGTGACAGAGACGTATGAGAGAGAGACGGGAGTGAGTGACAGAGATGTATGAGAGAGAGATGGGGGAGTGAGTGACAGAGAAGTATGAGAGAGAGATACAGGAGTGAGTGACAGAGATGTATGAGTGAGAGACGGGAGTGAGTGACAGAGAAGTATGAGAGAGAGATACGGGAGTGAGTGACAGAGAAGTATGAGAGAGAGACGGGAGTGAGTGACAGAGACGTATGAGAGAGAGACGGGAGTGAGTGACAGAGATGTATGAGAGAGAGATGGGGGAGTGAGTGACAGAGAAGTATGAGAGAGAGATACAGGAGTGAGTGACAGAGATGTATGAGTGAGAGACGGGAGTGAGTGACAGAGAAGTATGAGAGAGAGATACGGGAGTGAGTGACAGAGAAGTATGAGAGAGAGATACGGGAGTGAG